GTGGGAGAGGGAGAAGCAGGCTTCCCGTGGAGCAGGGAGCCCGATGCGGGGCTCGATCCCAGGACCTGGGATCATGACCTGAGCCGAAGGCAGATGCCCAATGGCTGAGCCACCCAGGCACCCCGGACCACATCTTCTTTATCCATTCATCTGTTGAAGGGAATCTTGGCTCTTTCCGCAGTTTGGCTATTGTGGACATTGCTGCTATGAACATTGGGGTGCATGTGGCCCTTCTTTTCACTACATCTGTGTCTTTGGGGTAAATACCCAGGAGTGCAATTACTGGGTCATAGGTAGCTCTATTTTTAACTTTTTGAGGAACCTCTGCACTGTTTTCCAAAGTGGCTGTACCCAACTTGCATTCTCACCAACAGTGTAAGAGGGTTTCCCTTTCTCCACATCCTCACCAACACCTGTTGCTTCCTGGTTGACTGGTATGAAGTGATAGCTCATTGGGGTTTTGATTTGTATTTCCCTGATGAGTGATGTTGAGCATCTTTTTATGTCTCTGTTGGTCATCTATATATCTTCTTTGGAAAAATGTCTATTCCTGTCTTCTGCCCATTTTTTAAACCAGATTATTTGTTTCTTGACACCCTATGCCTTTTGATTGGAGTGCTTAGTCCATTTACATTCAAAGTAATTACTGATAGCTATGTGTTTATTGCCATTTTATTACTTGTTTTGTCATTGTTTCTGGAGAATTTCTCTGATCCTTTCTTTGTCATTTTTGGTCTCTCCTTTCCACTCAAAGAGTCCCCTTTAATATTTCTTGCAGTGCTCGTTTAGTGGTCACTAACTCCTTTAGTTTTTGTTTGTCTGGGAAACTATCTCTCCTTCTATTCTGAATGATAGCCTTGCTAGAGAGAGTATTCTTGGCTACAGATTTTTCCCATTCAGCACATTGACTATATCATGCCACTCATTTCTGGCTTGCCAAGTTTCTGGAGAGGTCTACAGCTAACCTTATGGGTCTTCCCTTGTAAATTAAGGACTTCTTTTGTCTTGCTGCTTTTTAAAAATTTTTCTTTATCACTAGATTTTCCAAATTTAACTACAATATGCCTTGGTGTTGGCCTGCTTTTGTTGGTTTTGGATGTCTGTTTCCTTCCCCAGATTAGGGAAATTTTAAGCTATTATTTCTGAAATAAATTTCCTTCCCCTTTTTCTTTCTCTTCTTCTGGGACTCCTATAATATGAATGTTATGATGGAGTCACTGAGTTCTCTAAGTCTTTTCTCATGTTGCATAATTCTTCTTTCTCTCTTGTCCAGCTTCATTATTTTCCATTATTTTTTCTTCTATGTCACTAATTCATTCTTTTGCTTCTTCCAGCCTGCTGTTCATTGCATCAAGCCTGTTTCCAGTCTCATTTATTGCATTCTTCATCTCTGATTGATTTTTTAAAAATTCTTTTATGTCTGTGGTAAGGGTCTCACTGACCTCTTCTAGTCTTTTCTCAAGCCCAGTGAGTATCCTTATGATTGTTGCTTAAATTCTCCATCAGACATGTTACTTTTATCTGTTTCACTTAGATCTCTGGTTGTGGTCTTATCTTGTTCTTTCATTTGAGATAAATTCCTCCAGCTTGGCATTTTGTCTAAGTCTCTGCCTTCTTCTCTGTGTTAGAAAAGCCAGTTATGTCTCCTGCTCTTGAAAGTATGAAGAGGTCATGTACTTTCCAGGCCCTGGAGCTTCAGGGATTGTTTCTGGTGTGTGTAGTGTGTGCTCTGCTGTTGTGTTTTGGCTGCTCTATCCTTCAAGCCAGTCATGCACAGAGGCTCTCCTTGCCTGCAGTGGGCAGTGTTTGGTCCCTGGCCTGAATGTGGTGAGTTTTAACTATGTCTGCTCTGGTCTGCTTGTTAAATGAAACCTGACACCAACTCCACCAGAACTGAGGCCCTGCAGAACTCTCTGTTTGGGAGATGTGGTGTGGGCAGAGATTTTTGTTTTCTCTCCTGGGGGAGGGGCTGCGATGCTGGGACTGTGACAAGCTTGACTGAGAAGTGCAGTCCTGCCAGAGTGGAGGGGTGTGGGGCTTGGTGTATGCAAGTTAGGCAGCCAGTGTTAGCGCTGCACTGGCTCCTGCCAATGGCTCTGTGTTTATGCTGAGGGATGGGGTTGGGCAATGGTGCCAGCCAGCTCCTTTGTTCCCAGAAAGGCATCTCCCTGAATGCTGCCTCTCAGGGATGGGCTCTGAGAAGAGCAAATAATCTCCCACCTGTGTGTCCCAGGCACTGCAAATGGCTGTTGCCATGCTATCTGCCCCAGGTTGTCTGCTTGCCTTTTCTCCAGGAGCAGGGCTGTGCCCTCTGGGCTCTATTGTAGTCAAGCCTGCTGAATTTTAAAACTCCAGTCTTTCAGCCTCATTGGTTGCAAGAATTCATGAAAATAAGCCCCTCTCATTTTCCAAACCAATGGCTTTTGGGGAAATGTTCTCCTTGTGCCTTCCCATGTGCTCTCTCTCTCTCACCTTTCTCCACAACCTTAGCTCCCTCTCTTCCACAGCACCAGTAATCCATTTCTTCCCTAAACCACATCTCCACAATTCCTACCTTCTTCAATGTGGTCTTTTCTCTCCCTTTAGTTGTGTAGTTTGTTCTGTCAATCTTCAGGTCAATTCATGGGGATTTAGGATGATTTGATATTTAGTTGTGTTTGTGGGATGAGACAAGGCTAGGGTCCTCCTAGTCTGCTGCCATCTTTTCCTTCTCCCCAGATCTGTTCTTCTTAAGATTGCTTTGGCTATTTGGGTCTTTTGCATTTCCATACAAATTTTAGGATTGCTTCTTGTATTTCTGTGAACAATACCATTGGAATTTTGATAGGGATTGCACTGAATCTGGCTAATATGGAAATTTTATGGAAATTTTAACTATTCATTCTTCCAATCCATAAGAATGGAATATATTTCCACTTATTAGTGTTTTCTTCTATTTCTTTCATCAATGCTTTATAGTTTTCAGTGTATAAATCTTTTACTTTCTTGGTTAAATTTACTTCTAAGAATTTTATTGTTTTTGATACAATTTTAAGTGGGGTTGTTTTCTTAATTTCTCTTCCTGATAATTCATTGTTAGTGTATATAAATGTAACCAAATTTTTTATATTGCTCTTGAACCATGCAACTTGAATTTGTTTATTAGTTCTAACAGTTTTTTTGGTGGATTCTTTAGGGGTTTCCATATATTAAATCTTGTCACCCATAAACAGCTGATTGACTTGCAGATATTGAACCATCCTTGGATCACTGGGATAAATTCCACTTGATCATGGTGTATGAATCTACTAAAATATTGTTGAATTTAATTTGCTAATATTTTGTTGATCATTTTTGGATCTATGTTCATAGGAATACTGACCTGTAATTTTCTTTCTTCTTTCTTTCTTTTTTTGTGATGTCCTTGTTTATTCTTTGTGTCAGGGTAATGTTGGCCTCAGAAAATGAGTTTGGGAGCATTCCCTCTTCAATTTCTTGGAAGAGTTTGAAAAGGATAAATATTAAAATCTTCTTTGAAAGTTTGGTAGAATTAACCAGTGAAGCTGTCTGGTCCTGGACATTTGTTTATTGGAGTGTCACTCATTCATTTATTGTTTAATTCCAGTATGGTTAACATACAGTGCTATATTAGTTTCAGGTGTACAACACAGTGATTCAACAATTCCATACATTACCCAGTGCTCATCTTGACAAGTGCACTCCTTACTCCCCATCCCCTATTTCATCCATCCTGCCACCAATATCTGCTCTAATAACCAAGTTTGTCCTCTATAGTTAAGAGTCTTTTTCTTGGTTTGTCTCTTTCTTTTGCTTGTTTACTTTGTTTCTTAAATTCCACATATGAGTGAAATCATGGCATTTGTCTTTCTCTGACTTACTTTGCTTAGCATTATATTCTCTAGTTCCATCCATGTTGTAA